AAAAAGGACAGGTCGAAGCGCGAAGTACACCGCAGCCGAAGAAAGTACGGAGCTGAGTAATATATGTACAATACAATACACGCGCTCGTAACTCCCCCTCCTTTGGGATGTACATGTATACCCTCGGGGGCATCCGTACGAAATCACGTGTGCGTTTTTGTGTAACACGGTGTAACCGCGGGCATGGAGAGCAGTCCCGTGACGTAAGGTGCCGTGTGCGCTTAAAAGGACAAGACGAAGGAGGAGAGTTTGTCGTGCACTTTTTTCTTCGGCTGGTCTCCGAGATCTGTCTGATTAATTGTTCGGCATTCGCACGAGTTGGAGGAGAGTGCGCAACTATTTTTCGCAACGCCATCGGTCTGCTCCGGGCAACGAAGCCCCGAAAATTACAAGTATATATCCCACGATGTGTGCCGCTACTTTTGTCACCCTGGAAATCCTACCCAAAGCCAAGGGAGGGGAAATTTTCACATCGTGAAATTCATCGTAAAACAATGAAACATGATGCACAAACACCTTTAATCTTCGATAATGCATACATGCATAACTGTTAAAAGCAGCTTGCACAGAGAGAGCAAACAAAAGTATGTACATATACATACATGCTCCCTAGAAGAAAAGAGAGTGTGCGTCTGTGTGGTGTAGAGCATTATAAAACGCGGTGCTCGTAAAAATAAACGCCGCTAATAACTTGTCGTTGATGCATCGAGCGAGCGAAGGGCTTTTTGCATTAAACCCAGGATACCTGTGTATACATATACTATACGTGTACACGTTGGTATAATATTACGGGGCGCACCACCTACATCCAAGATTGTGGGTAATACCGTGCCCATCGCATCACTGTATTTATATTTATAGTATAGAAGTATGAGGTATTGCAACCAATGTATGGGTATGAAGCGAAAGACTCGGCAAAAGGCCGAGTGAGAAACGATAAAAAAAAAAAAAAAGTAAAGCGGGTCTCGGTATTATACGTGCAGGCGAGAGCGAAGGAAAGCCATTTGATAACCAAGTTTATATGAGGGAGGATGACGCGTGTTTTCATCTCTGCATAGCTCCCAGCCTCGCGTGAAAGTTAACCCGCTCGGCCGAGTTTGCAATGCGCGGACGACGACAAAGTACTTTATACCTACTCTCTCTCGCTTCGTGCGGACGTGCTCTCGTTCTCTCCTCCCCCGCCACGCAAGATCCAAGTACGTATATGTCCATGCTCCAGCTGCCTCGTCGCGTGTATATACATGTGCGCTGGGAGGAGGAAAATCATGCGGGAGTTGGATGTTACGTGGTTCGATCGCGATTTCGACGAGCGAGCGAGAGATACATTATTTTTAATTGGCTGCGCAGGAATTGTGTGTATACGCAGCCGATACCGAGAAACGAAAGTTTTCGAGACTTTTTTTTTTCCCCAAAATTTTCTTCGAGATTTTGCAGGTCTTGATCGGTACGGAGACCAGCAAATAAATCTCCGGGGGTGAGTCTCGGGGCCATCGGAGAGCGAGATAAGAAAGTCAGAAATGCAAAACGCGACGAAATGATTTTTGTACAACATACGAGGGGGAATGGCGCATGTGTGCGTGGGATGATGCGGGGCGTGCGACGAATATATGCGGCCGAGAGCCGCTGCTGATCTATCTTATCGTCCCTCGTTGTCTTTTTCTTTTCTCTTGGCGTTTCGCTTTGTTCGGGTTATTTTATTTTATTTTTTTTTGGCTTGCAAGAATTAATGTAATACGAGAATACTTTTTTTTTTTTTTTAATGCATTCGTCGATATTTAAATATACCTTGGCTTCGCGTACATCTCAGTTGAATTTTTCATGCCGATAACAAGTGCCGATCGGAATTATTGTCCGGAGCCACAGCTTAATCGTATATTATTTAGTTGGAAATACTCTGATGCGCTTTCCGATGTATTTTTTTTTTTTTTTTCATATTTAACGAGGCCACGTCTGGCCCACTTACAAAAATACCCATCGTCATGCGAGAGTTCATCGATACACAGCAATCGTGCACCGTGTACCCACCGGAATAATATTTCAAACGCCAGGATCGCGGAAAATCAATCCACGCGCGTATATATATTCATATAGAGTAGCTACGTATGTTTGTTCGTTTAAGTAATTAAATTTCTGATCGATACTGGCGAGTTGCGACGTTGAATAATGAAAATCACGTCGCGCTTCGTGCGCGCAATTTTCACCCGCCACGGTGAGGTACACTATATACAACAAATGACTTTTCGACGAAACGAGAGGAGCAGAGGGAAAAAAAAAAAAATGAAAGACAGCCGCAAAGCGACACGCGCCACACGCGTATATAGGTGCACTCGGTAGATTTCACAAGTCGTTTTTCCAGAAAAACAAGTTTTCCACTTTCGTCACAATTAAGAAGCCGATGTGTGTATATATATACGCACGTACACTCGCGGTACGGCCTAATGGTTGACATAAAGCTGCGCAAATAATCCTTAAGGACGTGCGCGCCAACATAAATAACGGGATAAGTAACGCTAATTTTACTTCTAAACCATACGGGAGCTGCTCGGCAAAAAAGATCTTACACGCACACACCTGCGTGCAATGGATAAATCGCGAGTGTGTACTCACTCTGGCGTCGCATGAAAATATATAATTCCTCTTCCTCTTATTGCGTGCCGGTGATGGCGAGGAGGGAAACAGCTCCGACGACAATCGCGCGTATATATATATACGAGCACCACCACGTCGAGGCACACGGTGTAATCGCAGAGCAATTGCGGAACGCCGAAAAGGAAACGAAGCGACGCGGCGTTAGAAAAAAAAAAAAAGATAGCGCTTCGTCTCGCGGAAGGGTCCTTTTTTTCTCTGTATCGAGTGCGCATGTGGGGGCGCGGCGGTGAATTTCGCCTGTGCGAAACAAACGAGCGCGGGAGAGCTGTCGCGGACGTGCGTTGTGTACGCGGATGCGGGAGAGCGGAAAATGGAAAAAAATCGGGGACGATAAATTATGGCTGGTCTGGAAGACGCGCGTCTCTCGCGCTCACCCTCGCGCGGTCGGGGAAAAACGCATTAGACTGAGGAGCGCTCGCTGAACGGATGGAAAAAAATGACGACGCAGTCCAATTGCCAATGTTTGGCTCTTTTTTTTTTTTTTTTTTTTTTTTTTTTACTGTATACACAAGGTATATATATGTGCTCGTCCGAAGGTGGATTTGTTCCATCAGAGCGAATGATCTTTATGACGCGTGTGTTATAGGTACAGAGGGTTAATGGTGCGCTGAACTTTTACGGGGGGAAAAGTTTGTTGCAAGGATTCGAGGTAGGCTTTTTTTTCGTCCTCGAAATGATGTTCTCTCCGTCAAAAGGACAGCCCAGAGTATAGGTGGAGGGGGTCGTTGGCGTGTAATATTGTGTTTTATTGCTCCGAGGGAAAAGTTTTTCTTTTGCGAGGAGAAGCAAGAACTCGTTTGACAAACGACGATTGAGAAAGATGAAAAATTATGTTCTTGCGAGGGTTGGACACTTTCAAGGTACAAAAATGAAAAATTGGCCGGGCACAAAGTTACGGCGCTTTCGCGAGAAGTGAGCCAATAAATCGACGTTTGTTATGCTTTTAGAGATACATATATACATACAGCTAGACGTATATATGTATAAGCTTAGGGTTTCTCAGAGACGCGTGTGTAGGCAGGCGCTCGCGGTTATGACACCGATAATTATAACTTGTCAAGCGCGTGACTTATATCCACGAGAAAATACTACACGTGCGCGGTTTAATAATAATATTGGTGTATACCCAACACGGAGTGTCATGCACGTATTTATTTATATATATATANTAACTTAAATTAAGTAATAGTAATAAATAATAGTAGTTATAAGATATGACAAATTTGTTAGAGAAAAGTAAAGTAAAAAGAAAACATTACAAAAATATTACAAAAAATAAAAACTAATAGGTCATACGTAGATTATTGTGGTAGTAAAATACTAATAGCTGAAATCACTGGTCCTCGAAATCACAGGCACACATAAAAAACACAGATGCACATCTAATCTAAATAATTAGGTCGATCAAGAAGAAGCTCGTAGAGCTTGCTGCCAAAACAAGGTCTCGCAAAACACGCCTGGATGCCAGTCGGTAGCTTGTTCCAGAGCTTTAACGCACCCACTCTAAAAGCAGCTATGTAGAAGTCAATCCTTGCTGAGGGCACATTCAGATCCAGAGGAGACCTTCTTACACCTGTTCTTTCAGGGATCTTGAACTTTAGGTAATTCGCAAGATATGCCGGCTGTCTTGATTTCAGCATAGTGGATAGAAAGCGCAGAGTAAGATATTTGATTCGTACATCATATGCCAATAACTTAAAGCGTCGATAGGTAGGTGATATGTGGTCGGATTTCTTGATGCCTACCACGAATCGCAAAGCTGCATTCATACACTTACTTAGCTTAGTTTTTAATTCACTAGAAAAACCAAGCTGCAAAGCAGGGCAGTACTCGAGAATAGAGAAGACTTGAACGACTTAACTAGCATAAGCTTAGTTTTCACTGGTAAGAAGTAGGCATTCCTTCGTAGTCTTGCAAGAGCAGAAAAACATCGTTTAGCTACCTCAATGGTATGAGGCCTAAACGTAAGGTTGGAGTCCAGAGTTACACCCAGGAGTTTCATGGTATCACTGTTCACTATGACAGAGTTTTTAAGTTTGATGTCAGGATTGTCAGGAATAGCTAAATTGGAGAGCTTGGCTTGTGTTCCTCGTGTACCTAATCAAACTGCACGCGACTTCTCAGGATTTGTGTACAACCCATTGGTGTCAGACCAGACCCATACATTGTCCAGTATACGATTAGCCTTATCAACAACTTCGTGGGCTTGAGACAATGGGCCATGCACATAGAAGCAGAAGTCATCAGCATATAGATGATACGAGCAGTCGCAGACATCTGGGAGATCATTTATAAATAATAAAAAGAGAGAGAGAGAGAGCTCTCAAGCCGCGCGCTGTCAGAAAGCAACAATGGCGTATTCAGTGAACGTCTCGGTCGAGGCGCCGATCGAAAATCAAATTCAAGAAATCACCTACGATGGCCAGGAAATATATCAAGCGTAAGTAAAATCATTAGTTTTATTACGATGCATTTCTGTAAAAAAGTATGAAATTTTCGACGTTTCTGCCCAAGTTTTTTAATCAAATATGAAAGTTAACCTCTAAACTAATGTGAAGTTGATGTTTAAAAACAATAATTTTTGAAATTAACTAATATTGGTATGGCTCTATTTCTTAAATTTTGATGCATTGTTTTTTAATTTCATTAAATTATGCATCTTAAGTACTTCTACTTCATTTTGTATTACGATTGCTTACATATCCAATCTTTTGTTGACAGTCAACATATTCATTTGTTTCAAAGTAGGTGTATTCTCTTTCGTGAAATTTTAAAAATTAAATTGAACATCTTATTTGTAGACCTCTTACACTGTCAGAAAACCTGACAAAAGTTGCTATGAAAATTGATTTTTCTAAACAAAACGAAGATGAAGTTAATATGGAAGAAAATAGTGAGAAGACCGAGGAAGATTCTAAAGACGCTGCAAACTTTCAGTCATCTCTGTGGCCATGGGACAGTGTTAGAAATAAGCTGAGGTCCGTGTTCAACATCTTAGTATTTAACTTGTGAATTTTAATACAGAATCCTTTTTATTTTAGAAATGCTCATACTGAAATTTGTGTGTTAGCTGATGTTTTGGCAGTTGCTAAAGAAAAAAGGTACATGGTACTTGATCCAGTGCCTATGGAAAGAGAAGATGTCAAAATTTTAGTACAAGTTCATGCTAGAAAAAAAGCGTTAGCTGGTGCTGCGTCAGTCTTGATGATGGGTGCAGACAGAATGAAAAGTTGTCAAAATGAATTAGCTAGAAATCGAACAACTCCAGATTTTCACATAGAGCTATTAAGGCTGAGGCAAAATTGGAGACTGAAAAAAATATCCAATTCTATTATTGGGGACCTTAGTTATAGGACTGCTGGTTCGAAGTATAGCCAAACTGGAATGTTTGAAATAACAAAAGCTGAAGAGGAAGAAAAAAGCCAAACCAGTCCACCAGAATCTCCCAATCCTAATGCTCCTGTGCCATCTGCATCGATTCATAAAAATGCTTCTGCTCTTAGGGTTACGATTCCAAGTGAACTGGAAGGAATCGCTTTTATTGAAGTACTATGCAAAAAAGGTATACTTTTCATTTTAATGATATCATTCATGATATAAAATACATGTCTTAATGTTTCAGATCAGGAATCGCTTTGTAGTGCTAATATTAATTGGTTGAACAGTGGTTCTGGAAATAAACTTGATCCAGACACTCATTGGCAACAAAAATTGGAAGCTGCACAGAATGTATTATTTTGTAAGGAATTGTTTAATCAATTGGCAAGAGAAGCTGTTCACTCAAAAGCCCCCATTCCACACATGGTCGTTGGAAACAGAATTATGGCAACTGTATTTATCTTTTATCACCATAGTGTCCAATTATTAAAGTTTATGGTCACGTAACTAAATAACCGATTTGTACTTTTGGATAGGTGCTTCCAGCAATACAACTAATAATTATTTTGAGGCATAGTACAGGCAATGACAAAAAGCCGGTACCTCAAAACACGGATCACGATCATGTTCTAGAGCATTCATTACACCAGTTGTTGCGAGAGGTGCATTTTAAAAACACTCATCACACGTCTCCACATCCGGCATCAGCTCCACTGGGACCTACAAAACGAAGATACAAGGCAACAATAGCAGGGGCAGATAGATATGAACTGCTTGAAATGACTAAGAGCCAGACCCTCTTAGAACAAATTATTCAACAGGCCCAACACTTCTTGATGAGGAGGCGGACAGAATATGTTCTAGATACAATTGCTAAAGAAGTCAAAGACCCACTCATTACTTCCCATTGGAATACTCTTAATTCACCAACGCAATCTAGTGTAAAGATTGTTATTGTTACCCATGGCTACGAATTATTATTACGGACTTCTATGATAGTGCACGTTAGAGAGAAATCATTAAAGTGTATTTGCAAAGATGGAAAAGTGATGCATATGAGTTATGAGCCACAGGAATTAAGAGATCTAATATTCTGCCAAGTATGTTTATTTTTTTTTAGTTTTCACTTTCTTAATTTAAATACCTAACTTTTGTTTTTGAATGATTAAAGATTTATCAGCACCAAATAAACGCAGTACAAGCTTTAGCAAAATGCATGGGCTGGCAGCTTTTAGCAAACAGTCCACACCTTGGAGTAGGAGCTGTTGAACCTTTAGATAATGCTAGTAGTTGTATTTTAGCATCACCAATCGGAGATAGGTTGGTATTTGAAGTATTTTAAATAAGATGTTTATAGCATGGAGATAGCTGAAAAAATTTTTATGTTGTAGAATAATAGCTGTAAGAGGTGATCCACAGACTGGACTTCAAGTTTCAATAGCTCACTCACCGCGAAAAGATTTCTTTCCAGGTCAATTGGTCAAAGAAAGGAAATGGGAACATTTAGGTGGCTCATTTAAAGAAGTAAGATGGGACAAAATGGAAGGACGAAACTTTCTTAATAAAATGGAGTTGCTCATGGCATCACTCACAAGCTCATAAAATTGAAATATAAAGTTTATGTAAAATTTAATAACATTTCTATCACCGAATTAAAAGTCGCACGAGTGCGTCCAATAACTTAAGTGCTATTGCTGGTAGCGCAAAAATATATTAGAAAGAAGAATGAGAACAATATGGATTTCGATCATTGCAGTTTATTTATAATGAAAAAGTGTGAAACTTTTTATTTTTAATATTTAATTAAGGTTAATCTTAGAAAAAAACGAAAAATAATAAAAGAATACGTTTTAATGTTTGTATAAAAATTGTTTTATTTTCATTGTGTAAAGGTGAAATATACATGTAAATGAACAATAATTAAGCTACTAGAAAAATATTATTAGCATCAAAAAATTGTTTAATTAACATCAAATGTTTAATTTACATTTTTTTATCATTTAAACAATGATAATCGGTGAAAATCGTTGACTCGTGTATACAGTCTACTTAATTAAGGAAATTCAAAAAATTGTTAAAAAAACGTCATAGTAAGAATATTTATCACAATAACATTGTTAGTGTTAAATTGTTAAGTTATACTACATTATTATTGGTCCAAATAACTTCTGATGGAAATTTATGGACACGTGTTTAATCATTGGAACGGACTTGATTTGATCGATTTTAAAATGCATCTTAGTTTCAATTTGTAATCTGTGAACTATTTAACTAATTTTACTAATCTTATATAATTTAAAAGATTAGAAATTTTCATCAATGCCTTTAAAAAAAATTTTTTCAGTTAAAAGTACTTTACATCCCGAATTATAAAAGTTCAAGATAATAAAATTTTTGTTCTAAAATTTTTTTATATTTTTTGCAGATGAATAGAAATCTTGACAAGTCAGCAGTACTCTATCGTTGTTGCACGACTTTTTTCATGATAGAGAAATCGACTCTACACGTATTCTATTGTCGACGTAATTTTAATTTTTTTTTTTTTTTTTCTTTATT